AAATTGTAAATATAGTCTAAAATATCAATAATATTGACAAAATATTGAGGATATTATCATTTTTTAGGTCCCGGATATTTCGAAACGTATCCATACACATATCGTATAAATATCGATGTCAATAATATCGGAAAATATCGATGTCGATAATATCAGAAAATATCGATGTCAATGATATCAGAAAATATCAATGTCGATAATTTCACTCACATTTCAACAATATTTTGTTAAAATATTGATGTAATGGAAAAAAAACACAAAGCACACATGTAAAGAGGATTCAAACCCTTGCCATTTCACTCTTCAATGCCTTAACCACCATGTTGCTTATGTTTTTGTGATAATATGCTAAAATATGTATATTTATATTTTTTTTTTTCGACTGTTTTTGCAAGAATTAGATTTTTACATGAGAATGTGAGTCATTGACCTTTTCTTTTGGGATGAAATCGAGCGACTCATGGAAAGAATTCGAGACCCAATCTTCAAATGATTTTGCTTATGTAAAATGTCAACCAATCTCGAATCCATATGGGTGACATGTTAACAATTACATGGAAATCTATTTTGGGGATTTATCATTTGATGACTACTCATAATACACTTACTCTACACATAGAGATGATGAAGATACTGAAAATTTTGAACCTCATAGTCACTCATTTATCTTACCATAGAATGTATAAAGTATAAAATTGTAGTAAATCATTATATATAAATTATTATAGTGTGTTTAATTTTCTTTTATTAATTACTACATATTTTCTACACTCACAGTATTTGTCAGCTCGCTATATAATCAACTTAAATAAGTTAAACTCATAATGCAATAAATTCCCTTCTAATTTTTTATTTTTTTTTTTGTAATAAACTTATAGATAATTTACTAAATACAGATTCTCCAAAGTTTCAATAAAAATTTCCAAGTTTTTCCTACAATTTTCATAGTTTTTATTCAATTTTTATCGATATCGATAATATTATGATATTTCCATCAAAATTTCAATATTTTTGGACTATTAATATTTCCAATATCATCGATATTTTAGACCTCGATTGTAAATGATTTCTCTCATTTAAAGTTGAAGAACTATAGTTGCTGCTGTCTAATACCCTGATCTAATATAATGATGGAGTACTTATCCACTGCGCGATTGCAAGCAACTGATTTTGACTGGTCTTTAAGGAATATTGATATCAACTTTTTGTCATTTCATATCTCTTGTTGAGATATTAACTTTTATGTAAGCTCCAAATAAAAGCCTCACGAGAAGGTTGGAACTTGGAACAAGGCAGATGATGGAGAGCTTATCTTTATACTTCTCTTTTGGTTTTAATGTTCAGGATAAGCATGTAATTTGGACAAAAGTATGCGGCACAACTTGGAATTATGAAAAGCACACCAAGATTGATGTACCTACAAAACACTTTGTAATCAAGAAATTGTCTATGCTCATAAAGACAGTGTGCCACGTAAAGTCTAAAAATATCAATTCATGATCGGGCTTCCAGCGTATTCCACTATCTAAAGTTTTTGAATGGAGGTATTCAAAAGAAAGAACTTAAATTTGACGATAACGCTAAATTTGTTTAAAACGCGAAAAGACATTTAAAATGGATTTAAAATGACCGTATACAAACAAGCTATTAGTACTTCATTTGTTTTTCTTCCTTTATTTTTTATACAAATTTATAAATAAACTCAATCTTAGACATGTATTTATAAAAAAATTCAAGCACTATTTAAACATAGAAACACACCCAAAATCAATCCCAAAGTCAACTTTTTGGGTGTGTTTATAAATGGGTTTTGAGTGTGTGTAATGATGGGTTTTGGGTGTGTTTATAAAGTATTTTGGGTTTTGGGTTTTTTTATAATTTCAACTTCTATTTTGGGTATTTTAGTGAAACTCCCTATTTTTTATTTAGTCTTGACATGATCACAGATATTATAGTATCTTACGTAAACAATTTAACCATATAATATCATCTACAATCCTAGATTTGAAATCACTCCATCTAAATTGCACGCTTCTCCCTTCGAAATTTCAGTGCCGTGCTTTTTTTTTTATCTTGCTTTTGTTTAATATATATTATTGAGAGGATCAACATGAGCTTTTGAAGAAAAACCTAAATATATGAAGTCTGTGTCAGCGGCCTCGTCCAAGAAATCAAGGATATATATATATATATATATATATATGTTTCTCATTTCTTAGCCGAAAGAAAACCAGCAACCAAGGCAAGAAGGAACAACACTCCAGTCCAAAAAAGACAAAGATGGGATAATATTCCCATGTTTGAAGCTATTCAAATGGGTGAAAAGTTGTTGAAAATTATGTAATCGTTGATATTGTATGTGATCCTGTCACAAACTTTTCTGATTGGGGTAGAAAAGTGCCTTGTTTGGCAGGCATTATCCCAGAGCCTCAACTTAAATGCCATTATTAAATAAGAAAGTTTGCTAAGCTAAAAACAAATCTCTTTGGTGGGCCTTTCGATCATGAATATATCTCAACAATTTAAATGAAACAAATATGAATGCAACAAAAATGATTTAGAGTTTTTTCATTTAATTATACAAATGATATTCTATTTTAATCCAATCTAAATTACAGATAAGAGAATTCGAACTCGAATGCAGAGTAGAGGGCGCATTCGCTTTAACTAACTTGACTAAACCCATGTCTACAAAACGTTTTGATGAAGATAGAGGACCTTATGTGCTTGGTGAAGTGACAGTCATTGAGCTCATGCCGATACAAATACTTTCTCATAAGTTGTATTAATCAACAAAACATTATATCATCGTTTAAAATAGAAGACAACTAAACGTAAACATATTTCATCCAAACATCTAACTGAGAACAAGATAAAGCAAACCTTGCCAACGTATAGGCTGCACACACTCTCGTTGAACTGATTCAAAAGAGAACGAATGTCCTCAAACAACACACCACCTTTATGAGCCAAATTGAAGTATAGTTGTTATACTAGGGTACCATCCTCCCCTGGAATACGTGGTGCCTTCAGCCTTAAGACAATGATAACGCCCAACTAAAGCCACGACCCACTGGTTTTAGGTAATGAGGATCAATAGTGCTCTATTGAAAACAATATCCAAAGGGTTTTATGGTCTTCAATTTGCATTACTCTGAATCCAAAGGGTCAAATTTATCCATTTAGATTTAACTTAATTTTTTTTTTATAATAAAAAAAGTCATGATTAGGAAGTTGGAAATACTAAATTAATTTACTAGTTAATTTATGATCAGTGAGAAAGATTTTTTTTCATTTGATTGCTATTTCCAAATTTTATCATGACTTTTTTATAGAGATATTTTAAATTTGAATATATATTTCTCACTAGTCGCTCCTCAGAAATCAACTATATTATATTGATAATAATAATTTTCAAATGCAGAATTTGTAGAAACAAAGTTAAGTCAAAGCTAATGAGAGAAACTACTGTCAAATCCCTTTTATCCCTTTTGCATTAGATTATTTAGATTCAACTTTATTTTTATTTCTGTATTTGATTAGTGATTATGAAATTTTTGTGTGGCAATCGTTCTCTTATTTATCTATTCTATCATGTCTATTTTAATTTTTGGTATTATTTATTGTATTAATTTCCACATAGTTTATTTCAAATCAATGTGGCCCTCATTCAGTCACATTATTTACATTCATGTTGGATGTTAAAAAAAATAAACAAGAAGATAGAAAAGCATTCAAAACTCTTTATTTATCAGGCTTAAACAAATTGAAAACAAAATCTTAAAAAGAAAACAAATTAATGAAAATTAAAACTTTATAGCATGCCTAGTTATTAGTTAGGGCTCACATTGCAGATAAACACTTTCATGAATCAGCTATAACACTATTTTGCTATCTGAGCTAATAATATTATGGGACATTTTAAAAAAAGCCAAAGGAGAGAGAAATATTTTGAAAAGAAGCCAAAATAGACAAAAATGCGCTTATTTATTTTCGAATTTCCTAATAAATCCCTTACATTTATATGTCTTTAGTTTGAAAATTGAGGGATTTTTTCATCTTTTTCGAAAAAATTTTGACTTTGAAAATTTTTCTATAACTAAAACCTAAAGTAAAAGTTTTGTGACTAATATTATGACGCATATAATAACATTTTTACGTCATACGCTCGAGTGCATTGATTGTGATCAGGATTATCCGGTGATCCACTTAATCCACACCGTCCAAAACATTTCCTTTTACGTACCCATACATAACGCATTCACTTTCGTTCTTATCCTTAAAAATCACTAATTTACTTACTCTGTTTCTCTCTCTCTCTCCTCTCTCCTCTCTCCTCTCTCTAGAGAAAACAAGAGCTCGTTTTAGAATTTATGGAATTAGAATCAACATCATCTTTCGTTTCCTTAACTCCAAGATTCATCTTCGTCTGCAACACCCACATATAAACTCAACACACCCAAATCAAAAATCACAACACCATTGTTAAATTCATTTTCTAAAACAAAAAACAGAGGGAAAAAAAAGCTTTCTTGGGTGCCATTGTTTCCGAGTATGCTATCGAGATCCTGCTTTGATTTATTGAATTTGGATCCCATCGAAGATTTCCGGACCGCCACTCGGATCCCAAAACTCATGACAGTCCCCCGAGTCATATCGGAGTTCGAAACCGACGACAACCACCAAAACGACGACGTCCCGGCCGATTCCCCTGTTCCGCACCAGCGGAGAATCATTGTCGCCAACCAGCTGCCCATTCGTGCCTCTCGCGACGCGAAAACCAGTAAGTGGTCTTTTGAATTGGACCATGACAGCCTGGTGCTGCAACTCAGAGACGGCTTCAAGCCCGACGTGGAGGTCTTGTACGTCGGCTGCTTGAAGGCCGAGATCGACCCATCGGAGCAAGACGAAGTGGCGAGCTTGCTTCTCCACGAGTTTCGGTGCGTCCCCACCTTCTTATCTATGGACGTGCAGAACAAGTTTTATCATGGGTTTTGTAAGCATTATCTCTGGCCTCTGTTTCACTACATGCTGCCCATGACGCCGAGCCACGGTGCACGGTTCGACCGTGCACTCTGGCAGGCGTACGTGTCGGCAAACAAGGCCTTTGCCGATAGAATCATAGAGGTGTTGAACCCAGATGAGGATTTCGTCTGGATCCACGATTATCATCTGATGGTGTTGCCTACTTTCTTGAGGAAGAGGTATTATCGTGTTAAGCTTGGTTTCTTTCTGCATAGTCCCTTTCCTTCTTCGGAGATTTACAGGACGATACCGGTACGCGAAGAGATTCTTCGGGCCTTGTTGAATTGTGATCTGATTGGTTTCCATATATTTGATTATGCAAGGCATTTTCTGTCATGTTGTAGCAGAATGTTGGGTCTTCATTATGAGTTCAAAAGGGGCTACATGGGTTTGGAATATTATGGAAGAACTGTGAGTATTAAGATGCTGCCTGTTGGGATTCATATGGGTCAGCTTCAATCCGTTTTGTCGCTTGAGAATACTGCCAGGAAGGTGAAGCAACTCAAGGAGGAATTTGAGGGGAAGACTGTGATTTTAGGGGTGGATGATTTGGACTTGTTTAAGGGGATTAGTTTGAAGTTTCTGGCAATGAGGCAGCTTCTGGAGGAGCATCAGAATTTGAGGGGCAAAGTGGTTTTTGTGCAGATAACAAACCCGGCGCGAAGTCGGGGTAAGGATGTGCAGGATGTGCTGAATGAGACCAGTGCTATTGCAAAAGAAATCAATCAGAGGTATGGCGAACCGGGGTACCAGCCGATCATTGTCATCAATGGCCCGCTTACGACGCAAGAGAAGGCTGCATACTATGCCATTTCGGAGTGCTGTTTGGTAAATGCTGTGAGGGATGGGATGAATTTGGTGCCTTACAAGTATACTGTTTGTAGGCAGGGCAGCCCTGTTTTGGACAGGGCATTGGGGATTGATGAGGCAGATAGGCCTAAAACGAGTGTCATCATCGTGTCTGAATTCATTGGCTGTTCTCCATCTCTCAGTGGTGCAATCCGCGTCAATCCATGGAACATCGATGCCGTTTCTGACGCAATAAACTTGGCCACCACAATGCCGGAGGCAGAGAAACAGTTTCGCCACGACAAGCATTACAAGTATATTAGCTCTCATGATGTTGCGTATTGGGCGCGAAGCTTCGATCAAGACCTTGAGCGAGCTTGTAGAGAGCATTACCGCAGGCGGTGCTGGGGCATTGGTTTGGGTTTGGGATTCAGAGTTGTTGCTTTGGGACCTAACTTCAGGAAGCTTTCTGTGGATCACATTGCCCATGCTTACAAAAATGCAAATAGTCGGTTGATTTTATTGGACTATGATGGCACTATGACGCCTCAGGCTTCGGTGGACAAAGCCCCCAGCAGTGAAGTTATTTCAGTTTTGAATTGCTTATGCAACGATCCGAAAAATGTGGTTTTCATTGTGAGTGGCAGAGAGAAGGATTCTCTCAGCAAGTGGTTTTCTCTTTGTGAGAAATTGGGGTTGTCAGCAGAACATGGCTACTTAACCAGGTGAAATTTGTTTCTTTGCTCATTACATATATGGCCACCTTTTGTGTTGTCTCTTAATTGATTATTTCTGTTTTTGCAGGTGGGCTAAGGATTCTCCTTGGGAGACTTGTACCTTAGCAATGGACTTCGGTTGGAAAAACATTGTACTGCCTGTTATGGAACCATACACAGAAGCAACTGATGGCTCTTTCATAGAGCAGAAAGAAAGTGCATTGGTCTGGCATCATCAAGATGCCGATCCTCATTTTGGCTCTTCCCAGGCCAAAGAGCTTCTTGATCATCTAGAGAGTGTGCTAATCAATGAACCTGTAGTGGTTAAAAGGGGCCAACACATTGTCGAAGTGAAACCACAGGTATGCATCGTATTAAACATTTCGATACATCCAGCCATCAGTAGTTTAGGAATTAGGAGATGAAAAATTCATTTTGTTAGTCGAAATGTCGATGAAGGGTCATTTCAATTCGTTTTTATTTTCCTGTGGGACTTACGAATTCATTGTAATTTGTAATGGACGTCTGTGTGATTTCAGGGTGTGAGCAAAGGCATAGTTGTGCAGAATCTCATCTCGAAGATGCAAAGTAGGGGGAAGCCACCGGATTTTCTATTGTGCATCGGGGATGACCGGTCAGATGAAGACATGTTTAAGAGTATTGTGCATTCATCTTCCAATCCCGCTGTGCCAGCCATAGCAGAAGTTTTTGCCTGCACTGTTGGTCAAAAACCAAGCATGGCAAAGTACTATCTTGATGACACAGTTGATGTGATCAAGTTAGTTCAGGGCCTTGCTGCAGCTTCATCAACTCAGCCAAAGTTGGCACAGGTTCAGAAATCATTTGAAGGGTTTATCTAAAAGTTTCGGGTAGAAATTAGGTTGCTCATGTGCTGTGATCGCATCAGTACTTAGGTTTAAATGGGCCTCGACATTTTGTTATAATGGTATAGAGCTAACGATACAACCAACTTTGTACAAATGATACTTGTACAGATCTGTGTGAAAAGCCCAGTCTTTGCAACTTTTGAATATGATGGTTCTGTTCTTTTACTTAACTTAAATTTATGTGAGTGTTGTTAAACGAACCCTAAAATTAACTGAATACACCATATGATCTAAGTACACTCTAATATTTAAATAAAAATATAAAATTAACTAAATACACCTTATTTAACTACCAAAATACTTATCATACACCCTAATACACTTTATCACAATTCAATATATTAAAATTACATTTGTTTTAAATGTAATTTAAAATCCGTTTCCTATGCCAAGTCAGATGTTTGTGTGCTTCCACTCGATTGTTATAGTTCACTATGCAAAATTTTTGCTTTTGCAATGGATAAAATCCTTTTCCTAATAGGCTCCCTGATATGTTCATAATTTCACATGATTTTATATCCTTTTTACTTAGTTTTGTGAATTAATTTGGACTAAAGATGCTGATTTTAGTTATTTTATGGGTTTTTAGCTTATGAGCCACGAAATGTATAAATTAGCCAAATATTCCTCATGGTAGAGTTTGACATAATTCCAATTAGAGATGGAAGATAGCATCTTGAAGTTTGTCCATGAATATTTTCATAATTTTTGAAGACTAATAAGGTGCCCATTTTTAATTAGACAACTTAGCCTAAACTAATTCCCGGAGAATACTGAGTCAGCAGGGGTATTTTAACCATAACTCACTCATATGACATCGGATTGAGGCACACGACATATGGCTGAAAAGAAGACATCCAGAGCTTTCCAAAGAGTGGTCATATGCAGTTTTCGGAGGTCAGGACTCAGGAAGGTGTTCAAATTGCATTCGCAAAGAGGATCACGTGCAGTTTCTTGGAAGTTCTAGGAAACTTAGTTTTTTTTTTTGTTTTGTTTTTGATTTTTTTATAATCAAAGAGTAAGAAACTTTCATTGCAACTAGGTTTTAGGTTCTTTTTATTGGGGAGGTCTTGGGGCTCAACAAGGATATACCAAAAATTTCATAATTCAACTGTGGAGCAAGGGAGAGTGACCGTGCCTCTAAACTCTAAGGTTTTTCTTATCTCTTTCTCCATGTTTTATTTTTGCTTTGTTACCATGATTATAGGTAACTAATTTTCTTTTACTAAGACACAATGTATTCTAATTATTCAAAGCTTAATTATGTCATACTATTAGAATTTCCATGTTGTTGAAATTTAATCACTGTGCTTATTTTCTTAACTAATGATCTTGATGCTTAGCTACCATCTAGATTTTTGGTTAAGTCATTTGATGCATGTTAGGGTATACGCCATGTCTAATACGAATTTTGCTTCTTGTGATTAAATTCATGAATGTACCTAAGGTAAACAACATACTCTTAGGGGTTTGTGTAATTGTGTAAAGTTCTCATTGAATGTAAAGACTTTTTATATGTTTATATTTATGCCTCACGCCAAGGATAAATTGCGTGTAAGAAGAAGTAGTTAATTGCTGTGAAAAGAGTTAATCATAATTTTGGAGAACTAATCATCAACATAACTTGGGAATTTTGATAGTATGCATGCTAAGGTTCGAATAAGAGGAACTGTGGTAAAATTGTTGTCTTAGTAAGCTTCTTTAAAATCTTTCACAAACTTATTTAGTTTACGTTTTTCTTCATTATCTTGTCTTTCAATTTTCTTATTTTCAACGTTCTTTTACAGAGAATCTTTCAAAACCAACTTTCAAAACTCCTTTATTAAGTTTAGTTGAGTCATTAGTTTTAAGTTTATTAGTTAGGGTGTCTAGAGTAATTTAGGATTTAGATTAGTTTATAATTCACAACAACTTGAGAATTTATTCAACCTCTGTGGACACGACCTTGTACTTGCCTTGGCTATATTGCATTAATCTTGTGCGTTTGCAAGTTTATTTCTTGAATTTAACTATCTAATTTTCAGGTAATAAAATTATACATCACTCCCCTACGGTTGTATCATGTATTGGTACATAGGACAAGAGCTCGTGGATGCTTGAGCTTTGAACCTTCTCTTCCAGTCTTTGCAGATGCAACACAAATAACATATAAGAAGTATGCTTTTTGTAAAACCAAACCTAATACAATTGCAAAAGTTTGAGTTTTCTGAGTATGAAGTGCTCAAGAATCCTTGAGTCTTTATTGGGCTATTTTGATGCTTTTTGTTTCTAAAAATTGTAGTAGTGGTGGAGGAAGAGGAAGAAGAAAGGGCCCTAAATTGAAAAAGAGCCTGGGTGGTTGATAGGAATCGTAGAAATCCCCATCGGGTTGGGTTCCCGGCCATAACGCGGGGAGATTTTGGGACAAAACAGGGATCGGGTACTGGGATCCCTGAATTTAAAAAATCCTCGTCGGATATGGGGCAGGGATGATATTGGCATCTCCATCTCCGAACGCGGCCCGATATATAAACACTTAAATAATCAATAAACTTAATACTTCCCATTCTAGCAATAAAAAAAATAGAACTAACCCTAACACTTATTGTGTGGCATTTGCTTTCACCCTCTCTCCTTTTTCTTTCCTTCTTACATCGATGTATCTTCTTTGCTTATTCTTCTTTTCCACCTCATCTTCTCTTCTTCTTCTTCTTTTTTGCCATCTGCAACTGATAATCCTCACACCAATCAATATCATAGTTAGTTTGATGGCAGCAATCATAGATCTGTAGCAACTGGATATGATCACCCTTGCCAGAACCATCAAGAATGTCCAAATAATCATGTTTCCTCTCAGTATTGTTGCTACAAATGGAGCCATGCACAACTAAAATGATCTAAAATGAAATATTCATACTTCAAGGTAAATTAAAGACTTCAGAGGTATGCAAATCTTTAGCTATCCGCGGGAACTTATGTGTGCATATTTAGTTTCACTTATTGTGAGATGTGCTAGTATCTTTAGACTAAGAACACAATGCATGCTAGGAAAATACTAAGGGCCCGTCTGGTAACGTTTTCGGAGGATGTTTTCTGAGAATATTTTCAGAGAATGAAAACAAGAAAACAAATTTGCATTTTCAGGAAATGAAAATGCGTCTGGTAGATTAATAAAAAACATCTTTAGAAAACAAAAACAATGAAAACGTGTCTGGTAGTACAATTTGATAATAATAATAATAATAATAATAATATGTGAGCTATTTTTCAAGTGTATTTTTGCTAATTTATGTTCTAAAAAATATTTTAAAAAATGTATAATTTGACAAATAAAAAATTATATTGTTTTTTAAAAGTTAAATTTATTTTTATCTCTTTATTTTTTCTTCCTCTTTTCCTCTTTTTTCCTTTTCTTTCTTTCTCTTTTCTTCTCCCTTCCCAGGCCGTTCCTTTCTTCCTCTTTTTTTCTTTTTTCCTTTTCTTTCTTCCTCTTCTCTCCTCTCTCTCTCTCTCTCTCTCTCTTAATTGGGTGGTGATGGCGATGGTGATGCTTTGATTGGGTACGGGTGGTGGAGGTGCCGATTGCTTTTTTACTAGGTGGCGAGATGTGTATTGGGTTCGATTGGGTGTTTGGTTTTGATTCCATTGGCATGGTGGTGGTGTTGGTGTTGGTGTCGGTTGGGTTTGATAGGTGGTGGTGATGTGGGGACTGGGTCTGTGAGGTTTGGTGGCAGTGGCAGAGTTAGTGGCGGTTGCGGTGATGATTGTCTGACAGTCGTGGCTGTGGTGAATTTGATTTTCGTTTATGTTTTGGTTTGATTTTCGTTTCGTTTCTGTTTTGCTGGGTAGAATGATGGGGTTGTGTGTTTCTGTTTATGTTTTAGGCGTTTGTTTCCTGTGAGAATGAAAACACATTTTTTCTGTTTTTCCGAAGTACACATGATGTTGTTCTCATTTTATGAAAACATTCTCAGTGTTTTCTGTTTTAGTCCACCGAACGAATTCTTGGTTTGTTTTTGTTCTCAGAAAATGAAAACGGGCGTTGAAAACTTAAACAAACGGCCCCTAAGATCCCTGAGAGAAAGACCCACTTAGAGCGCCATGTGAGGCAAATTCTGACCATAAATGACCTGTTGTTGAGAAGCAAAAAGCTTGTTGATGCCGCCACTTTTGAGTAGTTTTTCAACGCCTTTTGGGAAAAGAAAAAATAAATAAAAGGAAGACCTCATGCCATGGTTTTTGTCGGAAAGGGTTCCTCTCACTCACTCGTACAAAACCCCTCCAAAGAACTACTCAAATGTGCCACAGTTTATGGCGAATCAAGGTCGTGAAGTTTCGAAGCCCTTGTTGGAAAGCTCAAATTTTCAGCCAATTTAGCCATTTCCAAGTGAGGGTTCAATAACCAAAGTTGCTCTACTCGTTGTTCTTGTCATTTTGGAATAGGTGGCAACTGACAATGTGAAGTTTTGGAGATGCCGAAATTTACTCAAGCCACCCACTGCCGCTAGCTATTGTACTCATTGTCACGAGCATGACTGTATGCTCAGATTCATGAAATTTGATTGTTTCACCAGTAATCAGAATTTCACCTATTATGGACCAAAGTTTCTATGATTGTAAACCTATAAATAGGTGCTAATCAAAGATGAATGATACAAGTTACTAAAACAAATTTTTATTGTCTTTATGTTCCTTTTATTTCTCTGTACAATTTCCCTTAGTTATATAACAATTAGCTTATTGTTGTCATTGGAATTCAAATAGTTAGGTATTTATCTAATGCATTCTCTAAGTGGTTTGACTAAAAGACATCTATTTGGTTTCGAACAAAAAGAAAAAAGAAAAAAAAGGGATTACAATACCTTGGGAGCATGTTCTTGTTCCTCTAAGAGCCTATATTATTATTATTATTATTATTTTTAGAAAGGTGGCATTATTTTATTGAGGAAAAAATAAATAACAAGTAAAAAAAACTGCTTAATCAGAGTGAAAATACACCAAGGCCTCATCATTTGGCTCACGGGATCATGGCCGATGAGGGCTAGCCCAGCCCATCAAGTAATAGCCCAGCCCAGTCCATTATGGGTTTTGGGATGGCCTGACCCGCATTGGGCTGGGCTAGGCTTGGGCTCGGGTGTCTGAAGCCTAGTCCGACCCAGTTAAGCCCTAGAAAGCCTGGCTCAGCCCGCCCACAAAAGCCTGGCCCGTTAGGCCCGCATACATATATAATTATGTATAAATAAGGGTTTATGATTAGGATTATATCACTTGAATCACAAATCCCCCTTATTTCATTTTTGTGTGTGTGTTACTTGTTTGAAACGTTGTGTTTGTTTCCACTGAATTCTGCTCATTTTTGTATCCATTTTTTATATTTGGTTTGCTATGTTCTTCATTTTTCTGTGCTGAATCCAACCATATAAAGAACACAAAATGTGCATAAACGGTTGAAAAGTTATAGGTCAAAAATTGGACAGATGTCAAAACTGAAAAACAGAGGAAGTTCATAATTCGTCTCAACTTAAAACGTGATAAACTGGTTCTACCATAGTGATACAGTGGTGATACAGTTAGGGGTGGTTGCGGTTCGGTAACCGCGAATTTTTACTCAAACCGCAAACCGACCGACTATTTGCGGTTTGGTGATTTTTGAAAACCTAAGAAAATTAAAGTTACAATTTCAAGCATTCCAATTAAAGTTAAACTTCTCAAGCATTCCAATTCCAAATCCTTTAAAGTTATAAACCAAAAGGAAAATGCAAAGTAAAATGAATTAAAGTTACAACAAAAAAGAAAAATTCAATTCAAAGTTAATTAAAGTTACAAACTAAAAGGAAAATGCAATGCACCAATGTTACAAACTAAAGTTACAAACTCAAGTGTTGGTGGTGAGTGGATTTGAAGAACCCCGTTGTGTTGTTTGAGCACCAATGTTATTTACAAATAAAACAACATAGTGTAGTACATTTTATTATAAGAAGAAGCATAAATAACATTAGTATAAATAAACTAATTACTTACAAGTTGTCATATGTTCTATTTCCTTGTAAAATTCAACTTCATCATCCGTGTGGCTATACTTTGCGGTTTGCGGTAACCGCAAGTTTTGAAAATCAAATACCGCAACCGCAACCGCAAATGCGGTTCGGTTCTTAATACCGCAAATGCGGTTCGGTTTACCGCGATTGCAGTTTCATTGCGGTAAATTATCGGTTGGTTTTTGCGGTTTTTCGGTTTTTCGGTTTAAAATGCCACCCCTAGATACAGTAGTGATAAAAAGGTGATAGAAATTGATGTTCGTGTTTATTTTGGGTTTCTTGTTTTGTTTCATTTCATTTACTTTTATTTACTCATTCTTAGTTTATAATTGGATGATTAGCACATTAATTTGTGTTAATTATTAATACAACAATTATATAAATCAAGAATAAGACGAACGACATATCATATCACCAAACATAATCATACCACCAAATATAATCATGCTTTTCTTGAACCCATCACCAAGCATTTGCATATTTATTCATACTATCATTTTTTTTATAAATATTTTTTTGATACTTATTATTTTTTAAAATTATTTCTTAAAACGTGTTACGGTTTAATTATGATGCAACTGAGTGTCTCTTTTTGAATGACACATTATTTCTTTCTCCTCTTCTTCTTCTTCTTTGAATGAAGTAGGCCCATTTCGACTCGGCCCATGAGTCGGGCTTGGACTTTGAATTTTCTAAAAAAACCCAACATAGCCTCGCCTATTATTTTCTCTCTCCTCTTTGAAGCTTAGTCCGACCTGTCCCAAGTCCATTAAATTTGGATGGGCTAGCTCGGCCTGGCCCATTGACGAGCACCTATGAATTCTTGGTCTTTCTCTATTGTCATGTTGTTTATTTTATAACAATATTGCACTATTCCTTTTTTTTTTTTATAAAAAAATTACTTGTTTTCTTAATTATAGATGTCGGTTAGGTCAGTGGATGTAGTTTAACTGCCCCTTTGTGGGAATTCAAATAATTCTTTTTGTAAATTAGAGTAGTTTAAGATAATTGTCAAAAAGAAAATACTCATTTTCTTAACATCATTCTCCATATAAAAATAAAAATAAAATGTTTAAAAATACACGAAGACTATTTTGGAATATCAATGACAAATCTTATAAGAAAAACAAGAAACTTTTACACAAAATTAATTTTTTACACTGAGAAAATAATTAAATGTGATCATAACATAGCCACATAATACTACTAATTTACCTCTTATAACATTATTGAGTCACATGGTGGATTGTAGTCTTCAAATTGAGTAGCACTAGATGAGTCATTACAATTGTCGCAGCCATGTGTCAAATAGAGCAAAGGATATACTTTTGTTTATTCATAAAATATAATAAAATAATAATCAAAACCCAAACCTCTAATTTCAAAAACAATCCCTGTGTCCACCACCACCAATGGTAAATAGTGTTTGCCACGGCATCAATTCCCAAAAGAGAATTCAAGTGGGCCCACATTCCTCAAAGGGGGATAAGTAATTAGAATATGAGCAATTTGGTTTTCGCATCCGTTGACATTTGTTGACTTGGTTACGTTCTGTTTGGTTTCTTCAATCTGAACACAGACTTTCATTCTCTTGACTCACGGAGTGCGCCTTGATAGATTCTCTCAAACCAAACATTCACCACATGGGTCACAATCACAAAGCAAACCACTCTCACACTCTCTCGTGTGCTCAGCTCACCTCTGTTTCTCTCTCTCGTGTGCTCAGCTAACCTCAGATTTGCAAACTTGGTCATAGAAAAAGAAAAATCCCATAAAGGGTATTGTAGAGGTGCTGTTTTTGCTATGCTTGGGGGTTTCAGGTGAAGGGTTGGGTTCAGATTTCTCCTTCTTCTTGGCATGGAATTGAGGAAGGAAAAGCTTGTCAGGTAAATTACCCACAATATATTTTTTGTTAAAATTGTTTATCTATTTAGTTTTTCTCTATGTTTGGTTGCTCAGAAAGTGAAGGATTTTTGTTTTTGTTTTTTATTTTGTCTTTGAGATGAAAGAGCTGAAGAAATAGATAGGACTGAGCTGGGTAAATATGACAGAAAATACCTGCTAAAATTTTCCCTCTTTTTCCAGTGCTTGTTTGGGTACTGAGAAAATATGATAAAAAATTTCTGGAATTCTTTACTATATGGGACCCGTGAAAACTATGGCTTTGCTAAACTATAATCCAGGTAAACTTATTTTGCTTATTTTTAGTCTGATGGGGCCAGTGGAAACTAAGCTCTTCCCAGTTAAGCATATAGTTTAATATGCTTGATTTAGGTAGGTCTTACGTATCTATAAACGGATACAACTTTCAACATCAGTTGTTGGTATCATTTTCTTGGAATTGTTTTTCCCTATAATTATCTGTCTGTTTGTTTGTTCTGGAAATATGGACAAATTAATGTTTTCACTGATAGGGAACAGAGGACGAATTCCATCTGATTGGAGCCTGCGGCCTACCACAGCTAATTTTTATGATTTGATCAGGCCTTGCCTTACTGGAAACCTTAACAGCGTAGCACAGGAATTCCAATTTGTTATATGTTTCACTTTGTTTTTTTCATTTGTTTACAAAGCGTCCTTTGTTTACATCAATTTTGTTGAAACTTTTCATCACATTTCTTCAGCACGTAGGAACTATAATTAACTTTGAAGACTACCTTACTCCTGGAAATATTTTCTATTAACTCAATCTGAGCATTAACATTCTCTAATACTCTGCTCACCTTAATGTGGTTTAGGTTTTATTCAGATGAAAAACGGCATGAAAAACGGCATAAAGAATCTTTATGGGGAAGAAGAACTGAACCATCTCAGCTTGAAAAGTCATCATCTCAATATAAAGTTTCATCATCTTCATTGCTTAAATCTGATACTGGCCTAATTGGGGGCAGAAATAGATTTGTTGAAACTTTCAGCATTGGGCATTCAAAGGTGTTTCCCGAAGACCATGAGCCTTGGCGCAAGAGGATACTTGACCCGGGTAGCGAGATCGTGTTGCAATGGAATCGGGTTTTCATTATGTCGTGCTTGGTGGCACTTTTTGTTGATCCATTATATTTTTACTTGCCAATGCTTGGAAGGCATACAAACGCGTTTTGTGTGAAGACAGATTTGAGGTTGCGAATTGTTGTCACTTGTTTCCGGACCATTGCAGATATCTTTTACTTGTTGCACGTGATCATAAAGTTTAGGACAGCTTATGTTGCGCCAAGTTCTCGCGTCTTCGGGAGGGGTGAACTTGTCATGGATCCAAAGAAGATTGCTCAGAGGTATATTAGATCTGACTTCTTCATTGATCTCATAGCCACATTGCCCCTTCCTCAGGTATTTTTCTGGAATATAATTCTATGCAATTTTAGACATTGTAGATTTTCTTATTTAGTTGGTTTTTCTGTTTAGATTATACTGCATCAGGCAATGAGTGAAAGAAAATTGTGGAATCCTTCCAATGACAATGGCTCCTCAAGACCATATGAAGTTTGGGTTTCATTTTTACTTCTTTTTAAGATTCTATTTTTTCAAGAGAGTATCTTAAAGAGCCAGACTAGCTGAGTACTACTCTATATATTACTGAAGTGATGATGAGCAGCAATAAACCAATCGGATATCCAAGTAATATTAATCTGAAGAAGGGTTTGTAAAGAAAAAGTGCACACCCAAATATAGCAAAATAGTTTAGCCTCCATAAATATGATAGTATAGAAGAAATATGATTTTGATTAGGATTGCTTTTTGGTGCATTTAAGTTAAAGGGAATGTGATTCAGTTGACGATATTGGGTTATTTTTGCTTTGACAGATGAATTACATTGTCAGTGATGCTTTAATCATTTTAAGATTTGAGGAATCTTATGTGCTTTTAGGTCAATTCAACATTCTCCTTCCCAGTAAACTTTAGGCTTCTAATGTCCCTATCTACCTTATGAGTGAATATGTTTATTAACGCTCTTCGAGTAGAAGTGACAATTTGGGTTTCTGTGTTGCATTTGTGTCAGGTTGAGGAACATGAATTAGAATAATTGGTTTGACATGAACACGATACGATTATTAATGGTATGGAATGTTCTCAACATGAACATGACATGATTATTACACGTATAACACGAGCAACACGCATAACCCCTTTGTTAATCAGCTTTAATTGAGCCATATTTTGGTGGACATGATGAACCTGTTTATTAATGCGTTAATAACCCACCACTATTGAAATCTTACCTTTATCCTTCATTAACACTAGACTTAAAATATTATATTTAACATTAAAAAAGAAATATTTATTATTAAAAATCTTAATGTTGAATTGAATTTGTAAATAGGTTTGACCATATTAAGTGGGTGATAGGTTTCACACAATTATTAGACGTGTCAACAGGACCCTAATATTCAACATGTCAATTCTTGATATTTTCGGGTTAGGCAGGTTGGCTTGAAACACAACTGCTTACTATATGTGTTAAACGGTTTGACAGTATTTCAATTTGAAGATGATTGTACCCAACCCAAAGCCGTCTAATTCGTGTCTTTATCATGATGTGTCAAAGATTGCCACCCACCCCTTTGTCTGAGGCGAGCTTTTGCAAGCTTCATGGATGATACCAGGCTAATCATTGGAAAGGTAGATTGTGAAATCTGGTTGAAATGTTTAGGTATTGGATACTGTCCATTCTACCCTGATAAATATGGGACGTTAAAAAGTAATGTCTAAAAAAGTATTATTCTTCAAAGATGGAGATGGTGAATTACTTTGTTTAAGAGAAGACATTTAGTAGCCTCCTCATGTGTCCATAATGGAAGAAATGCTAGATTCAATAACATGAGATGACACTACAATCTACTTATTCCCTTTTCTTTGTCCTGACGTGTTAAGTTCATAAGTTATTGTTGTAATATTTTCCTGGGTGAGAAAGGTGAAGTATATCTGATTGAAAAATCATGTGCAGATAGTCATCTGGTTTATTATACCAGCAACTAGAAGGACCCAAACAGATCATAACAACAATGCACTTGCCCTAATTGTTCTGCTCCAATATGTCCCTAGATTATATCTTATTTTTCCGTTAAGTTTGCAAATAATCAAAGCAACTGGAGTGGTCACAAAGACTGCCTGGGCAGGGGCTGCATATAATCTGCTCTTGTACATGCTGGCCAGCCATGTATGTATCTGCACTTGCCTCTCTCTCTCGCTCTCTCTCTGAGTTCACGAACAAGATGCTAATCTATGCCAGTTTACTGTTGTTGCAGGTATTAGGAGCAGCATGGTATTTGCTATCAATTGACAGATATACCTCATGCTGGAAGTCATTTTGTAAAAAGGAAGTAAGCTCCACAAAATGCTCGCTTTCTTATCTCGATTGTGACAATTTTAACAGCAAAGGTTACCAGACATGGGCTAATATTACAGAAGTGTTTGAGAATTGTAATCCTGCAAATAACACCTTCAAATATGGCATATTTGAAAGTGCAGTGGCAAAAAATGCTGTTTCCGCAAACTTCATCACAAAGTACTTCTATTGTTTATGGTGGGGCTTACAGCAACTAAGGTATGATGTTTTTTCTTTGTGAGGTAGAAAGGTCTGATTTCATGAAGATTTAGATGCCTTATTATTTCACACTCTAAAACCATCGAAGTGCTGGTTCTGTACCTTCTGTCTAACAATATGTTTAATTTAATAGTAAATAGTTTATGCATTGATGGTATTCGAATAAAAAAAAACAGAAATTAAACCTTGCCCACTAATGAACAATTGCAATAAACATGAGTGCAAAGTCTTTTAGGAGAGGCATAGTCAAAGACAGATTAATTCATGGTGGAGAAAAGGGGAAAAGTTATTGATAACAATGACCCATGGATCAAAAAAGGTTGATGGCTTCAGGCTCACAAGTTATGATAATAACACTCCACTCCTGGAATTCTTTCGGACTATTCAAGCCTTGTATGTTTTGGCGGATGAAGTGCTTAAAAGGGTTTCCATGGTAAATCGAACCGGCAGGTTCCCGGTTAACCCAATTCAATAAATGAGTTTAGTGTGGGTTTCAGAACTATGATCTCATCCGTCTTCCAACTGTCACATGAGCATAGGCAGCTGCATGCATCTCTTCTGTGATTCTTGCTTAAAAGGTTTTAGTTAATGAATTGAGTACTAGGGTTGTGGTGGTAAATTGAACCGGTGGCCAGCTGGTTCCCGGTTAACCCAGTTCAATCAGCCACTATAGTGTGGCTTTCAGAACTATGTTCTCATCATTCTTCCAACTGTCACATTAACTTAGGTAGCGGCTTGCATATCTTCTTTGATTTCTGGCTAAGGGACCATTGATAAGTGCACATCCTCGTTAAATTACTGTGCAATCTTAGGTTTCATATGGAGCATCATTGCATAACTGAACCAAACTGGAAAGCATATTGCGTTGTTTAGTTAAACGATAAATGGCTGCGAATAAGAATTGACCTTAAGATGTGGAAGAATTTTAAGTTTCACTGAATTCGGTTGAAGTATGAAAAGATCTCAATGCAAATGTGTATTCTCTCTTACCCTATTTCTGTCCCAAAAGTAATTTCTACATATATCTTTGTTTAATATGGTATAACTAATAGACAATCATAAGATATGCTTTCCAAATATGGTACAACTAATAGACAATCGTAAGATGGGCTGTCCATGCTCGAGACATACACAACATGCTTTCACCAGGAATGTTTTTGTTTAGCTTGTATACTATGTTGCAGTCTAGTGAGAATCATATGCCTGGCATGCATTGGGAAAAAGAAAACCGAAATAAATATTATCAGTTTGATACTCTGTATTAATCGGTAAACAAGTGCTTCAGCTTTCTGGAATAGGCCTGCACCTTATGTATAGGGGTCAGTGCCGATCTTACTTTGAAATATACAGCTTACTCATTGGTTCCTTGGTTGTATGCTCATTGATTGACAAGGATTGCTGCATGGTATTGGTAATATGTAGGGTTTAGGGTGTGGTTACCATAGGTGGTTGGAGCATATCTTATATGCCAATGGACTAACAGAAAGCTTTCTATAAGAAATGGCAGTCTCTTCATTTTCTTACTTCAGAATAAGTGCCACTTTATGATATTAACATTTTTTAGTCTGTTAATAAATGAACAAAAATGTTTGATTGATCTCTTTGCATTCTTGTTGTCTCAGTTCATATGGGCAGAATTTGTCAACAAGCACTTTTATTGGAGAGACATCATTTGCCATTCTCATTGCCATTGTAGGTCTTGTATTATTTGCCCACTTAATAGGGAATATGCAGGTATTGGGAAAAGGCTTCTTACTTTGTTTCTTGCTTTTATTATTTCTTTTCTGCTGCTTGAAGTCTGTTGAGTGTTCCTTTTTGACTTTTTTAGTCATTAAATACATCTCTCAAATGATGTTTGTGGAAACTTATTAATTATTATTTTCCGGCTAGAAAGTTAAGTTTATACAGTATTACATACAATGATAACTTTCTCTGTTACTGATTGTTTCTGACAGGACATGCGTAGACTAGTAACTACATTTAGTTATATTTCTGATTCAACTACATTAGATTAATAATAATGACTGGTGATGCATGTTGAATTGGTAATTTATACTTTGAGCTTGTCTTTAAATTGTAGACCTATCTCCAATCTATCACTGTGAGGCTTGAGGAGTGGAGGCTTAAGAGAAGAGACACTGAGGAATGGATGAAGCATCGTCAACTCCCTGAAGATTTGAGACGGCGTGTTCGACGCTTTGTTCAATACAAGTGGCTGGCAACTCGAGGAGTTGATGAAGAAGCCATTCTTCATGGCTTACCTGCTGATCTCCGTCGTGATATTCAACGCCACCTGTGCTTAGATCTTGTTCGAAGAGTATGATCCTCCCCAAGTATTTTTATTTTAGGGCTTAAAAACAACCTTACTCAATATCCTTTGTCATATTCTATCCAAAATAATGGGATCAGAGGATTCACTGGGCGGTCTAGATGGGGCATGGCGCCATAGAGATCCTTTGGACTGCTATTTCTGGGTACCTCGTATATGCATGTGCAGCATGTATTAGAAGGCAAGCCTTATAGTTTGAGCACTCTGAAGGCTCCAGTTCCAATTTTATGTTGGATTATGGCCAAAGTTGATAGCTTACCAAGTTAAACAGGCATCACAGATGTAGTATACTGCCTATCAAAATGTCTCGAAATGCATGGGATCCCTACACTTCTCAAGATTGATTTGTTCACTAATGCATGTGATTTGCTTGGGAACTCGGCCTAATTTAGTGTGAGCTATAACAACACTGCACAACATGGGGGCGTAACCCCCTTGCAGTGTAATAATTTTGGCCAAATAACCGATATAAAACCTCAATGATTCCTATGCTTTGAAATGAAATGGTAATTACTTATGTGATCTTATACTAACCTTTATTTTCTCATTTCTCAGGTCCCTTTCTTCTCACAGATGGATGATCAGCTTCTTGATGCGATATGTGAGCGTCTAGTGTCGTCCCTAAGCACGGCGGGCACTTACATAGTCCGAGAGGGTGATCCTGTGACAGAAATGCTCTTCATTATTAGAGGTGCTCTGGATAGTTCTACTACCAATGGTGGCCGGACGGGTTTCTTCAACTCAATAACTTTAAGACCTGGGGATTTTTGTGGTGAGGAGCTGCTTGCATGGGCTTTGCTCCCAAAATCCACTGTTAATTTGCCTTCTTCAACACGAACAGTTAAAGCACATACTGAAGTTGAAGCTTTTGCATTGCGGGCTGAAGATCTCAAATTTGTGGCCAACCAATTCAGACGCCTGCACAGCAAGAAGCTGCAGCACACCTTTCGGTTTTACTCTCACCATTGGAGAACATGGGCAGCCTGCTTCATACAGGCTGCTTGGCGACGCCACAAGAGGAGGATGACAGCAAAAGATCTGAGCTCGAGGGAATCCTTTGCTTTGGATGAGAAAGTAGCCTATGAGACTGGGGAAGGGGAAGAAGAACATCTTTCTGTTGGTTCAAATCCTTCCCAGGCAAAAATGAATCTCGGGGTCACGTTACTGGCTTCAAGGTTTGCTGCAAACACTAGAAGGGGAGCTCAAAAGATCAAAGACGAGATGCCAAAACTACGAAAACCTGATGAACCTGACTTTTCCACTGAGCATGAATATGAGTAGTAGCCTAAATTAGGGTATGGGTGTAAAGATAGCTATAGCTTTTCCTGACAAGGGTGACACTCATTCATTTACAACAGAATCCTTTCAGATGGGGGACTGGGTATTTCGTGTTCCACACGGATTCCGGCTGATTGCAATGCTTGATATCATTCTCATCCTATTTATATCCTCAGAATCGATGTTGTGGGAAGAGATTGTCTTTGGAGCTTGGGATGTTGGAGAAGTTGGATTTTACTGGAACATGTATAAGATTGTATGCTACTCATGTGCCAATTAGTTGTTAGCTTATTCAGAGCAAGGCTTGTCCAAATCAATGAGCCAAACTAAAAAGGGTTGTCTTATCCAATTCCAAATAGAAGACTTCATGGCAGGGAAATTCTGAAAACTAGTCTCTCTTTTTTAACCTCATTGAGCACTTGGCCTTTTTGTAGAATTTACAAACATCTGCATCCGTGCCCCTCTGAATAATGCTCGAGGCTCCTCAAATAGCCCGTATGGTTAGTTAATGTAATAGCATTGAAGACCTCCTAGAAACGATTGCTGGGAAATTATAGTTCTACAAAAAGGGAACAAGAAGACCTTCTAGAGCAATACAGAGCCACTACATAGATGAAAATGATTTTAGAAAATAAGCTTAACAAGATGTTCATCAACTCATTCTATGTAGGCATATTGATCATCAACCAAAACACAAAAGTCAACTGAATTAAACTAAAAGCATTATGTTTAAAGTGGCATTGGGTTTAACAGTCCCTCTTCAGTGTCGGAAACGGTATCACTGTTGCCAAACATTACTTTTACAGTTTTAGGACATGAGGTCATTTTGGTTTTTACTATATTTCGTCAGTTTAGTTTGTGATTAAGGGCTCATTTGGGAGTGTGATATGTACCAAAAACCAGAAAGAGATATACTAAAATAAACGATTCTTCATTCATAATTCCAAAATGGCCAATGGCTTCAAACTAAATACACTTGTGAGCTCACCAACGGTATTGCCTAAAGATATTGAAAGGAAATCTATAGGCCCACTAGTGAAGGATTCTAACATAATGATTTTGGATAAGCGAGGAGAATCACTTCTCTATATAATCAGTTTAGATGGTTTAAAGTGATTTTATGGAGAAGCACATGGTCTCCCCATAAGTATTTTGGCCCTCACATAATCACTCCCACACAAACCCTAAGTTAATTTGTAACTCTATTATCTCTAAGAGAAAGCAACTCTCATGTAACATGTTGTATATCTCTTTTTCTTGATATCTTTCTCATCACATACTAACCACACAATGATATTCAACATGTTATATGTAAAGTTATATACTAGGAGTGTTTGTGTAAATTATATAGGCTGGAAAACTAAAAAGACAAACAACATTTGTTTTTATATAACCGATTTTCTATTTTAATCTAATCTAAATTAGATGAAGGGATATTCGAACTCGGGTGTAGAGTGAGAGAAAGACTTTCATGAAACCAAGATAACACTATTTTGTTATCCCGGTCAATAATGCTATGACAAGAGTGATAACACATCCATGTGGCATAACGTTATTGGTTCCAACTAAGTTGCACATCTGCTCTAGCCAACTTGACTAAGGGGGGTATATTCAATTAGGATTCTGGAGCGTTTAATTTTTTTTTAAAAAAATCCGGGTGTATTCAATTTGGATTTATACAAACTTTTAAAAAGTCTATAACAGTTTGGGTGTATTCAATCTAGACTTGTTTGAACTTTTAAAATGTCCATCTAAATATGGGTGTATTCAATTAGGACTTGGAAAATGTCCAAATAAATTTACCTGTATTCAAAAGGAGATAGATTTGGAAGGATTTAATTAAGTTTTGGAGTTTGGAGAATTTGTAGGGTTTAGGTATAAATAATAAAGGCCAACATAAGTCCAACCTCCACTCCAAAGATTCATATGACGTGTTTTTTTTTCCTCTCTATGTTAGAAAATTTTCCCTCATTTGGCAAACAATACACTAAGCCATGCACTGACCTTGGGTGGTTACAAGCAACTTGTTGGAGTTTCTGGGCAGAAAGATCATCTTGGCGTGAAGCCAAAGTCAAGGCAGTAGAAGGTTGAGATATATTTCCATCACCCATAACACTACCAGATGACAGGGCTCTTGCTTTTTGGACAAAGGGTTACTTTTTTTAATTGAATTTTTGGACGAAGAGTTTGCTATTCGTGAACAAAATCAAAGGGAAATTTCCAACTTGTGGAAATTTTAAAGTGAAATTCATTGTTTAGGTATGAAAGTTTCCAACTCATGAAAATTTCAAAGGGAAATTCATTGTTGTGTACACAAGTAGAGGAAGAATTTGGAGAGGAAAAAAAAAAAGAAAAAAGAAGAAAGGGATGGTTGACTAGTGGCTAGGTCAAGATAGTTTAAAGAAAATAGTGTTGGGAAGAACGAGTGATAAAAGAAAATGGTTGGGAAGTCTATGCAAATATATCTGAATCTATAACAAAAGTTCATTCAAAAGTATGGAAGTAAAATCGTATACAAACCTAATTGAATACACCCCCCCCATAATAAAAGTCTATATAAGTTTATTAAAAATTCGAGTAAAACCTATAAGAGTTATACAATTCCAGGAAATTTGTCACTTAAAAAAAATATTTCAAAATCGTACACAATCCTAATTCGGGTAAGCCCATATTTATGTCAAATAACATTTTTGACTTGTTTGACTCATTTTTCATTTTGATCCATGTCACCTCAATTTTGGAAATTTTGATCACGAATCTTTGTAAGTTAGCAGGTCTAACATCGTTGAAAAAATTAACGAGCTTCTTATGTTTTGGGTTGATTGCAAATATATGGAAAGGCAAAATTGTCATCTCATCATCTCATGTGATGGGTTACATATTGCAACGTTGGATTTCATCTATTAGTTTAATTTGGACTTGATTGCAAACTAAATCAAGTTACGAGACTAAAATTGAAATGATAGGACTAAAGTGAAAATTAGTACAAAAAATATAGAGTAGTGCTAAATGAACCCTAAAATTAATTGAGTACAGCCTATGATCTAAGTGCACCCTAATATTTTAATTAAAATATAAAATTAACTAAGTACACTCTAATTAACTACCAAAAATACTCATGTTATATCCTAATACACTCTATCACACAACGCTCTAATACCAATCCTAAACTAAATTTCTCTTTTTACATGAATTTGTGCTCTCTTTTCATATTTATAAATGTATTGAATTGAACTACAGACACAAACACTCAACTTATTATTTGGTTTCACAAGTTATATGAAGGGATTTTCATAGGCCCTTGACATATTATTTGAATCTAAACCAGAAAAGCTATGAAGGCATTTCCGATGTTTGCAGCGAGACTACAGCATACCCACATGGTCATGGATCTCTTCAGATAATCAAATATTAAACAACCCATAAACTTCTCCCTTTGAAGAGCAAATTAAAACCAATTTCTAGAGGAAGGTTACAAAACATTTTAGCCCGTGAAGAAGAAATTAAGACAGTATAACCAATTTGATAACAAAATCAAAATGAGATTTACCAATACTAGACGACCACTGCGCTAGTATAATGGTACGGCGGCAGCGTTACTGTAATGGTGAAGAAGTGGATGGTATGACGACGGTGTTAGTGTAACGGTGGAGGAAATTATATTATGAAGGAGGCGTTGCTATGTTCGGTGGAGGAGTCGTCGACGATGTTTCACAATTCAATATATACTTTTTGGCCATTTTATATTAGGGTAAATTAGTAATTCAATAAATAATTTGATAGTAGAGTATACTCAGTTAATATTAAGGTTCATTTAGCAGCACTCAAAATATAATTTGACGAAATAAAAAAAAAAAGGTTTTTTAGGTTTTAGACATAAAAAAAATTTCACTTTTGGAAAAAGCCAAAGTTTTTTCAAAAAAGACAAAAAAATCATTCAACTTTCAAATCAAAGACATACAAATGTATTGGATTCCTTAATAAATCTAAAAATAACATACTGAACTTCAAGGAATGTTTGTCTATTTTACCCCGATAGGGGCTGAGTTACAGAACAGCTGTGAACTGACTCTCTCTCTCCCTCTCTCTCGCTCTCAAAGTAAGTCAAAGCCATCACACTCAAATTTATTTATTTTATTTTCATGCCATGGAAAATGCGTTAGGTACTCTACATACAAATTGGTTTGAGGAACTTGTGTATTTCATGAGGCATTAGATTAAAATTAGATGAGAAAAATGCGGAAATCAGTGGGAAGCATTGTTTTGGTCCTGTTGCTGCCTTTGTTTCTGTTTTTGATCTTTTCAATCTTCAATGTCTGTGATCTGAATGACCCACTATCTAGATTTGGAAGCAGTTTCACATTCAATTCCAGTCTCATATATAATGCCCAGCACCTGCTTCACTCTTTTCCCGTTTTTCTCACCAGGTGCTCTATGACCCTGTAAACTCTCACCTTTTTCTTTCTTTTTTTGGGTTGGAAAATTTGAAATTATTTGGCTTTCTTTTGTTTATTTCATGTTGGTTTCTTTTGTTGTTGTTTTTTTTTGGTTTTTTGTTTTTTGTTTTTTCTTCCTTTCTGGTCATGTTATTTGATGATGCTTTACTTGGCCATTACATTGATTCTTACAAAGATGACAAAGCTTTTGCTTCCTGTTAGACTAATTGGTAACTATAAAATATGTCCATAAAATATAAAGATGATTAAGCTAGACCTTTCCCAATTATGTTGTTCCAGAATTTTTATTAACACGAGAATATAGTGCTGAAAAATTATGCAGGAAGTTAGATAGAACATTTGCCGAAACCACGTTGTCTGCGCTCCCAAGTATGAGTACGAGGAAGGACAGTATTCTTGAGGGGCCTTTGTTAGAGGAATACACATTTGCTGCAAATTCTGCTCCTTTCAATAGCTGCCATGCATCTACCATTGTTGAGGTAGTGCAGGACAAAATAATTAGAAAATAAAAAGTAAATATTTGTAGTTCGTTATGATTAGTAGCCTTTATTTTCCCCTGGAGAAGTTAACTAGACCAGTGCTTGTTTGTTGTTCGTATAGGTTGATAAAGATCACTTTTTGGTTGCCTATTTTGGAGGTGAATCGGAGGGAGCACCAGATGTGAAAATTTGGTTGCAGACGTACAAGGTAAACAATACATACAATCCACAAGGGTTGCTCACTTTATGAACAACAAAGATGTACCCTTATTTTTCTGTTGTCTAGTTAATGTTATCTTTTATTTTGATATAAATTACAAAATGCACTGGAACGGAAGTTATCATTATCCCATTTTAGTCTAGTTGACTGACAGATTCATTCTTAAATTTCTTGGTAAAGTCCTCATCGGACTTTTATATGAATTCCTAACACTAAGAGTAGAATTTTTCTG